ATGTGAATGTAGTATTGTATACACTATATAAATGATAGATTCCTGTAGTTAATGTGAATGTAGGACTGTGTACACTATATAAATGATAGATTCCTGTAGTTAATGTGAATGTAGGACTGTGTACACTATATAAATGATATATTCCTGTAGTTTATGTGAATGTAGGATTGTGTACACTATATAAATGACAAATTCGTGTAGTTAATGTGAATGTAGGTCTGTGTGCACTATATAAATGACAAATTCGTGTAGTTAATGTGAATGTAGGACTATGTACACTATATAAATGATAGATTCCTGTAGTTAATGTGAATATAGGACTGTGTACACTATATAAATGACAAATTCGTGTAGTTAATGTGAATGTAGGACTGTGTACACTATATAAATAATAGATTCCTGTAATTAATGTGAATGTAGGACTGTGTACGCTATATAAATGATAGATTCATGTAGTTAATGTGAATGTAGGACTGTGTACATAATATAAATGACAGATTCATGTAGTTAATGTGAATATAGGACTGTGTACACTATATAAATGATAGATTCCTGTAGTTAATGAGAATGTAGTACTGTATACATTATATAAATGATAGATTCCTGTAGTTAATGTGAATGTAGGACTGTGTACACTATATAAATGATAGATTCCTGTAGTTAATGTGAATGTAGGACTGTGTACACTATATAATATATATATATTCCTATAGTTAATGTGAATATAGGACTGTGTACACTATATAAATGAATATTCCCGTAGTTACTGTGAATGTGTAACTGTGTAATGTTAACATTTTCATTTAGTTTAATTTAGTTCACGTTAATTGGGCTATAGTGAACATGTGACCTCAGTAAAAGGTAATTGCATTGCCTAACATGTCTGACGTTGATATAATATTTCACTTACGTAGTATTTTTCCCTCCGAGTCTGTGGAGCTGTCAGATTCCAGCCCCTCTGGGAAGTAATCGATTCTAGTACAGACGAAGTATCCCATTCCTAAGTATAAAACACAAGAAAAAATGATATTATTAAAATGTTTATTGCATTCCACGCTATAAAACATATTCTCGCGTGCTCGCGAAATGTATGAATCCACACGAATCACACAAGTACATCAAACTATTCATATGTGTGTACAGACGATCTAGCCTACAATATGCTAAAAGTATACATCCCAAACACACGGCACTATTTTCAAATTTCTGCCATGTGCTATGTTGTATCACCCCCCCCCCCGAAAAAAAATGTCGAACAAAAAGTTAAATTGAATTCGTCCGCTGGCGATTTATAATTGTTGGCCCATTACACCCACGTTTACCCAATTTGAGGGCAACAACATTTAAACTCCAATTTCATGAAAATCATTTTGAGACATCGGGTTAGAAACTTGAAATTTGTTCTCGCGACCTCGAGTTAAGTTCCTTAACATGACTCTGTTACATCCAGTTGCTAAAAATCAGAATCCTGCATAAATATTATTAAAATTGATCACGTTACTGAAACACCTAGAATAATAAGTTTACGCAGTGGCGTTATAGACAATAAATTGATTTTATCTTCAGATAACCAACATCTGAGCTTTAACTGGCGAAGTTGCATAGTGGTGCTATAACTCGAAGTCCTAACACCAACATAAACTAAACGCCACAGTAATATACTTGATCATGTTACACGCGTTGTATCATGGGATACGTATCAAACACGACACAGTGAGACGAATGTGATGATTAAATGTGCATGGGTCAGGTGTTAATAACGGGGGCATCCCTGTACACCGATGCACTATACAGCAACCCGAACCACATGAGAAACGTCGCTACTGTGGTTGCGGCAACAGTATATTGGTATCGCCACAGTGAATGTGGCAGTAGTATATTGGTATCGCCACTGTGAATGCGACAACAGTATATTGGTATCGCCACTGTGAATGCGACAACAGTATATTGGTATCGCCACTGTGAATGTGACAACTGTATATTAGAATCGCCACTGTGAATGCGGCAATGGTATATTGGTATCGACACAGTGAATGCGACAACAGTATATTGGTAACGCCACTGTGAATGCGACAACAGTATATTGGTATCGCCACTGTGAATGTGACAACAGTATATTAGTATCGCCACTGTGAATGCGGCAATGGTATATTGGTATCGGCACTGTGAATGCGGCAGTAGTATATTGGTATCGCCACTGTGAATGCGGCAGTAGTATATTGGTATCGCCACTGTGAATGCGGCAGTGGTAGATTGGTATCGCCACTGTGATTGCAGCAATAGTATATTGGTATTGGCACTGTGAATGTGACAACAGTATATTAGTATCGCCACTGTGAATGCGGCAATAGTATATTGGTATCGGCACTGTGAATGCGACAACAGTATATTGGAATCGCATCTGTGAATGTGACAACAGTATATTAGTATCGCCACTGTGAATGCGGCAGTAGTATATTGGTATCGCCACTATGAATGCGGCAATGGTATATTGGTATCGCCATTGTGATTGCGGCAATGGTATATTGGTATCGGCACTGTGAATGCGGCAGTAGTATATTGGTATCGCCACTGTGAATGCGGCAATGGTATATTGGTATCGCCACTGTGATTGGGGCAATGGCATATTGGTATCGGCACTGTGAATGCGGCAGTAGTATATTGGTATCGCCACTGTGAATGCGGCAGTAGTATATTGGTATCGCCACTGTGAATGCGGAAGTAGAATATTGGTATCGGCACTGTTAATGCGGCAGTAGTATATTGGTATCGCCACTGTGAATGCGGCAGTAGTATATTGGTATCGCCACTGTGATTGCGGCAACAGTATATTGGTATCGCCACTGTGAATGCGGCAATGGTATATTGGTATCGGCACTGTGAATGCGGCAGTAGTGTATTAGTATCGCCACTGTGAATGCGGCAGTAGTATATTGGTATTGCCACTGTGAATGCGGCAATGACATATTGGTATCGGCACTGTGAATGCGAAAGTAGTATATTGGTATCGCCACTGTGAATGCGGCAGTAGTATATTGGTATCGCCACTGTGAATGCG